ATATTTTGACACATCTACAGTGGGATCTCATCTCTAAATAAAATTCCTCTATTTCAGAAGCCCCCAAACTCTCCTTCTGAGGATTTAGAAATCAGTAATGACTGGACTTGGTGACTCAGCCTGTAATCCCAGCACTTTGAGAGGCTGAGGCTAGTGGATTGCCTGAGCCTGTGGGTTCAAGACCCACCCAGACAACTTGGTGAGACCTCGTCTCTACAATAAATCAAAAATTAGCTGGGCGTGGTAGTGTGCTCCTGTAGTTCTGGCTACTTGGAAGGTCAAGGAGGCAGGATCACTGGATCCCAGCTGGTCGAGGCTGCAGTTGCCAGAAGTGTGCCACTGCAATCTAGTCTGGACAACAGAGTGAGACTCCAACTCAAAAAAAAAAAAATAGAAATTAGTAATGTGAGATGTCAGCATTTCCTCATCTTAAAGTTTCCCAGGATATGTAACCATCAGTAACTGATATCCATTGAACACAGGGGGATGTTTTTTCTTTCTTTCTTTCTTTCTTTCTTTCTTTCTTTCTTTCTTTCTTTCTTTCTTTCTTTCTTCTTTTCTTCCTTTCTTCCTTTCTTTCTTTCTTTTTGAAAGCAGGATTTATTGAAAGGATAGAAAAGCCCCCACAGTGGAAGGGGACCCGAGGGGGTTGCCCTTTAATTTTTTTTTGATTTAGAGTCTCACTCTGTCACCCAGGCTGGTGTGCAATGGCATGCTCATGGCCACCGCAACCTCAACCTGCTAGACTCAGGAGATCCTTCTACCTCAACCTTCCAAGTAGCTGGAACTACAGGCATGCACTATCATGCCCAGCTAATTTTTCAAAATTTTATTGTAGAGACCAGGTCTCACCAAGTTGCCTGGGCTGGTCTCAAATCCATAGGCTCTGGCAATCCACTTGCCTTGGCCTCCCCAAGTGCTGGGATTACAGGCTGAGCCACTGAGCCCAGCTCTTTATTATTATTATTTTATTTTTTAATTTTAATTTTTTTTTTTTGAGTTGGAGTCTCACTCTGTTGCCCAGACTGGAGGGGAGTGGCCACTCCCGGTCACTGCAGCCTTGACCTGCTGGGCTCCGGCGATCCTTCCACCTCAGCCTTCCAAGTAACTGGAACTACAGGCGTGCACTACCACACCTGGCTAATTTTTGATTTATTGTAGAGATAAGGTTCCACCAAGTTGCCCAGGCGGGTTTCGAACCCACGGGCTCAGGCAATCTACTCACCTCAGCCTCCCAAAGGTGCGGGATTACAGGCTGAGCCACTGAGTCCAGCTATTATTATTATTTTAGTAAGAATCTTACTCTATCACCCAGGCTGGAGTGCAGTGGCACACTCATGCACACCATAGCCTCAGCCCACTGGGCTCAGGTGATCCTTCCACCTCAGCTTTCCAAGTTGCTAGAACTATAGGTGCACACCACCATGCCTAGCTAATTTTTTGATTGATTGTAGAGATAAGGCTTCACTAAGTTGCCCAGGCTGGTCACAAACCACTGGACTCAGGCAATCCTCTTGCCTCTGCCTCCCAAAGTGCTGGGATTACAGGCATGTGTCACCACACCCAGCTCAAATATTTTACTTTTTTTTTTTTTTTAAGATGGGTACAATTCAGGATTAGGTATACAAGTGGTCATCATGTCAAATATTTTATTTTAATAAAATTTTATAATTTTTGTCTTTGAAGTTCTAACACATTTTTGTTCAGTTTATTTGCAAAATTTGTATTTATTTATTTGAGTTGGGGTCTCAGTCTGTTGCCCAGGCTGGAGTGCACAGCTTACCACACATTGAGGTGGAAGGATCGCCCAAGCCCAGGAGACTGAGGATGTGATAGCCATGAGGATGTGATAGCCTCTCAAAGGCGCGGGATTACAGGCTGAGCCACCAAGCCCGGCTAATTTTTTTCTTTTTTGAGTTGGAGTCTCACTCTATCGCCCAGACTGGAGTGCAGTGGCTGCTCCCGGCCACTGCAGCCTCAACCTGCTGGGCTCCGGCGATCCTTCCGCCTCAGCCTTCCGAGTAGCTGGAATTACTACTGAGCCCGGCTCTAATTTTTTTTTTTAATTGTAGAGATGAGGTCTCACCAATTTTCCCAGGCTGGTCTTAAACCCACGGGCTCCCAAAATGCTGGGATTACAGGCTGAGCCACTGAGCCCAGCTGGAAGAACATTTTTAAAGAGCTGAAAGATAAGAACTATTGACCGATAATTGTATTATTTATTTTATTTTATTTTTTTAGAGTCAGGGTGTCATTCTGTCACCCTAGCTGGAGTCCAGGACATCTCCCCAGGATGTCACAGCAGAAGATGGAGGTGAGAGACAGGCTGTGGAAAGGACTCTGGAAGCTCCACAGTGAATCTGATGAGTCTAAGGGCTGGGGGCTTTGGAGAGAGCCTGCCTGCCTACTCTGCCCAACCCCAAGAAAGAGGAAAAACAAGCCAGCGAGCACTAAGCAGGATAAATGTTTTGAAATTCACATCTGTACACATTAGAACTTAGAGAAAAAAGAATCCTAAAAATCATTGCCAAAAAGAAAAGACAGAAAACTTACAAAATAATTCAAATCGGGCTGGGCTCGGTGGCTCAGGCTGTCATCCCAGCACTTTGGGAGGCCGAAGTGAGTGGATTGCCTGAGCCCGCGGGTTCGAGACCCGCCTGGGCAACTTGGCGAGACCTCATCTCTACAATAAATCAAAAATTAGCTGGGCGTGGTAGCACGTGCCTGTAGTTCCAGGAATTTGGAAGGGTGAGGCGGAAGGGTCACCAGATCCCAGCAGGCCGAGGCTGTGGTAGCCGGGAGTGTGCCACTGCACTCCAGTCTGGACAACAGAGTGAGACTCCAACTCAAAAAAAAAAAAAAGAATTCAATTCGTAAATTAGCTGTCTGTGGTGGTGTGCACCTGTAGTCTCAAGTACTTAGGAACATGAGGTAGGAGGATTGCCTGAGCCCAGGATTATGCCACTGCACTCCAGCCTGGGTGATAGAGTGAGACTCCACCCCCCCAAAAAAGAACTGAAATTATGCTGTTACATTTGTTCTTGTAGCGTTATAAAATACTAATAGAGAAATATCTTCAAGGTAGACCTAAAGATTTGTCAATAGAAATTATTCAGCCTGGGCTGGGTGTGGTGGCTCATGCCTGTAATCCTAGCACTTTGGGGTGCTGACGCAGGAGGATTGCTTGAGCTCGAGTTTGAGACCAGCCTGGGCAGTATAGCAAGACCTCATTTTAAAAAGAAAAACCATTTTTTAAAAGAAATTAGCTGGGCATAGTGGTTCATGCCTGTAATCCCAGCACTTTGGGAGGCAGAGCTGAGAGGATTGCCTGGTCCAGGGGTTTGAGACCAGCCTGGGCAAATTGGTAAGACCTCATCTCTACAATAAATTAAAAAATTAGCCAGGCATGGCAGAACATGCCTGTAGTTCCAGTTACTTTGAAGGCTGAGGTGGAAGGATCCCCCGAGCCCAGCAGTTTGAAGCTGCAATGGCCGTGAGCGTGCCACCGTACTCCAACATGGGTGACAGAGTGAGACTCCTACTAAAAAAAAAAAAAAATTACTCAGACTGAATAAAGGAGGAAAATGAAAATGAACCTGGCCTTATGTACTTGTGGGACAATACCAAAAAGTCTAACATTCATTCCATGGGAGTTCCAAAAGGAAACACAGGAGTGAGGTATAGGAAAAAAAGTTGAAGCAATAATGGCTGAAAACTTCAGAGACACAAACCTACAGACCCAGGAAGCACAGCAAACTCCAAAAAGGGTATACCACAAAAAATCCATAGCCAGACACATCATAAATAAACTGTTGAAAACCAAAGACAAAAAAAATCTTGAAAGCAGCCAGAGGAAAACAATGCATTATTTAGAGAGGAACAACAATTTGCATAACTGTGGATTTCTCAACAAAAATTATGGGGGCCAGAAGGAAGTGGAAGGACTTTTTTTTTTTTTAATTGGAGTCTCACTCCATCTCCCAGGTTGAAGTGCAGTGGCATGATCATGGTTACCCCAGTGTCAATCCGCTGGGCTCTGGCAATCCTTCCACCTCAGCCTTCCAAGTAGCTGGAACTATAGGCACGTGCTACCATGCCTGGCTAATTTTTTTTTTTTGAGGTGGAGTCTCCCTCTGTCGCCCAGACTGGAGTGCAGTGGCTGCTCCCAGCCACCACAGCCTCGACCTGCTGGGGTCCGGCGATCCTTCCACCTCAGCCTTCCGAGTAGCCGGAACTACAGGCGCGCGCTACCACACCCAGCTAATTTTTGATTTATTGTAGAGATGAGGTCTTGCCAAGTTGCCCAGGTGGATCTCGAAACCAAGGGCTCAGGCAATCCACTCACCTCAGCCTCCCAAAGCTCTGGGATTACAGGCTGAGCCACCGAGCCCGGCTAATTATTTCAACTTCCTTTAGATAGTCTGTTTTCCAGATTGCTCTGTTCTGTGGGATTGATCTTATTCAGGAACCTTGTGATCCTCTGCTGCGAGAGACCTCTCTGGTGTGTAGGGATTATAGGTGACCTGTACCCAACCCAGTGGAGGGTGACAGCTCTTGTCTCTTAGTGAGCCCCAGCACAGCCATCACTAGGGACATGCTCGAGTCCTACTGTCCAAGGCCTCAGCTGCAGGTAGGCAGTGCCATTGTGGCTCTGTGGCTCTGGCTCAGCCCCTCTACAGGCCATGGACTTTGGTCCTTCATTCCCATGGGTGCCCCTTTCTGATAGCTTAGAAAGACGTTTCCATTTTTTCTGAACTAAGGAACCATCTTCTTTGCCGTACTTGAATGCAGCTATGTGTTCTAAGCTTTCTTCCCATATGTGTTTGAAGCAGAACAGGGAGGTTACAGTGTATCTTGTCTCCCTCCAAAATATGAGACCCAAATAATTAAGCATAAATTACTTTGCTATAGCATTTCAGATATGCTTCCCCACCCAACTGTTTCTAAAATTGGCTTCAGGGTGTACTCAGAAGGAAGAGAGACTAATAACACCAGCTAAGTGCAGTATTGCAAAATAAATTTATTTGAAGATAAACTGTCTTATAAAAGATCAGAGGCAACTTGAGATCCCAGATTCAGCTTGTCTCATAAAAAGATTCAACTTCAAGTAGCACAATTTCGTGTCTGCTTTTAATCCTGAACATTCTTGAATCATGAAACAGCCAACTGTTTATACAACACACTTGACATCTGGCTCCAGCACCAGTGGACCCACAGTGTTCAGTTCTGGGGCCACAGGTGCTGCAGCCTGCAGATTCACAAGGGCCCAGTTCTGGCCACTGTGACCTCTGGCTTTGACTAGAGACAGGTCCCAGCCTTTCCCTCCCTAGCACCTTCCAAAAGCACAAGAATAGACCAAGGCCACCCCTCTACTAGGGCAGAGCATGGAACTTCTGCGTGACAGTGTGCTGATGGGGCAGGTGCCCCTCTTTCTCAGTGACTCCCTGGTGGACTTGGTCAACCAGAGGTCAGAGCAGGCGGCCTCAGCAGGGCCTCTCCTAGCTGCCTGGCAGCTTGGAGGGGGAAGGGAGGAGAAAGGATGCCTGTGCTGGCTGAAGCTACGTAATGATCCTGGCAATGGCTTGCAGGGAGGGGAAGTCATCGTCCTGGGCAGTGTGCAGCGCCTGGTGGCTGCTGACATCACCATGTGCAAGCACCTGCTGGCAGGTGGGGCACACGCAGCAGTCCAGGCCTGCCAGCTGGCTGTTAGTCTGCCACGCGCCCTTCTTATTCTTCTTGGACTTGGTGCTAGGAGGCTTCTCGCGACTGCAGAAGTTCATGTGTGCAGACAGCAGCTCCTGCTGCTTGACTGTGTCAGGCAGCAGCACCAGCAGCTCATTAAATATCTTCTGGAACTTCTCCCCGAGCAGGTCCCGACAACTCTTGTAATACTGGGCCGCGGAGATCATGCCCTGCCACCCGGAGAGCCAGCCTCAGTCACCACCATCCCAGGTGACCGCAGGCTGGCTACCCTGTACCCCTGTCTCCCCTGACCTGTCTGAACTCCCCCGAGTGGCTCTTGAACTTGCTGAAGTGGGCCTCGTCGCTCTGTAGAAAGTCCTTGATGGACTGGATGAGCTGCAGGTTCCGCTCCCGGAAGTTCTCAGGGACCAGGTAGGCCCGGGGTATGGCCGGCAGCCTGGGTCTGGGGGATCAGGAGGTGAAGAGAAGGTAGAGGCTTCAGCCCTTAGGGTGGCAGAGGAGGACACCCGTTCCCCAGCCTCCAACAGCATGCAGCTGGGCAGTCCGCGACACTTACACTTTCGTGGTGGTAGCAGGGCTGGGGACACAGGCTGGATGGGGGCTGGGCAGGAGGCCAGAGAAGCCAGGGGGCGGCTTGCTGACAGGGGGCGCCAGACCTGGCGGGGGTGGGGGTGGCATGCCCTTCTGCAGCACCACAGTGTTGAAGCCTGCAGAGGCGGGAGGATGAGACCCTGCCCATGAACCTCACTGGCCATGCTCCCCACAGGCTGCCCAGCCCCCCGGGGTCAGCTTCCCTCCACAGCCACCCCTTCCACAGAGCAGGCCAGGGCCAGCACCTGCCACACCTGTGCTGCAACCCGGGCCTGCAAGAATGCACTGGCCTCAGCCCTGGAGGGACTACGGTCACCTGTCTCACAGAGGAAGTGGACACAGAGCAGGTGGTGGCAGAGGGTGGCCCCCGCACTCTGATGCGCCTGCAGGGCAGCCGGGAGCGAGCACACAGGCTCCCTGCGCCTCACCCCTGTGGGCTGTGCTCCTGTCTGTGCCCCGGCCTGACCCAGCCTCTACCCGGACACCCAAGGAGCAGGCCTGAGTAAGCATGTGTACCTGGGGGAGGGGGCATCCTGGGTGGGCAGGGGCCGCCCAGCGCTGGGAAGTCTTCCTGGGGTGTGGGGCAGGAGAGGGGCCCCAGGGGCCGTGGGAGCCCGGGGGGTTCCTTGGGGGCACTCCGAGCGGGGGCTGCCCCCTCTGCGTGTCCATTGATGATGACAGCGACTGGCCCTTCGGCCTTGCTGGCAGGAGCCTCAGGGACCTGTTCGATGCCATGGGGCTGTGAGGGACAGCTAGGGGGTGGTGGCTGGGGCGACGCCACGCTGGGCTTCTCGGAGCCCACCTTCTTCTTCTTGCCAACCTTGGAGGTCTGGGTGGAGGCCGGCCCCAGCAGGGAGGAGACAGAGACTGTAGCGCGTGTGCGGCGCAGCTCGTGTGCGGCCAGGCCACCCTCCTCCTCCTCCACGGGGGGTGGGCCGCCCTTCTTGCCGCCTCGGTTCCCCTTCCCAGCCTTCCTGGTAGGCTGGCCACCCCCACCGGCAGCCTGGGCCGCGAGGGTAGGTTGTGCTACCTTCTTGCTGCAGCTGCTGTTCCAGGCAGAGATGAGGCTGGTGGGGGCAGTGCTGGGCTTGGATGCCGAGGACACCAGGGCAGGGAAGTCCTCCTCTTGGAAGGCGTTCCTACCCCTGGTGGGAATGGAGTACACCAGTGCCAACCCCACAGGGCCCAGGGCTGCCACAGTGGAGCAGGAAGAGGAAGTGCAGGCAGAGAGGCTGGGGAAGTCTTCGTCCTTGAGCTTTGGGCTGGGCGGTGGGAGGGTGCTGGGTGCAGGGAGACAGAGCTGGTTAGCCATTGCTGGGCCTGGCCGCTCCACTTCCAGTTACCAGCCATGGGTATCCACAGCCTCACCCAGTTCCCCTGACATACCTGGGAAGGGCAGTCCCTGAGGCTGAGCCCGTGGCTGGAAAGGCCTCCTGGCTCACAGGACTGTCTGGGGAGGTTTCCTTGGGGCCTGCAAGAAGCAAGGGCCCTGGGTGAGGCCCAGGGGGGAGGCCCTCTGGGGGCCCGAGGCACACAGGGTGCTCATCAGCCCAATGAAGACCTTGACTGCCAGAGCATGGCGCTCACCACGAGCTGGCTGCTGGTCCCATCCGGCAGGGCTTTCTCACCTGGGCCTTCACCCAGAGTCCAGGCTGGGCGCCGGAGGCCGCGGGATTCCTCAGGCCCCTGTGCCGCTGCCTCGTCCTTCTCAGGCCTGCTGCCTTCCTCTCGGTCCTTGCTCTTGGGCGTCTCCACCGGCTGCTGTGTGGCCATGGAGGCCCGGATGGCAGCTGCCACTGCTCGGTCCTCTTCTTCCCTGGAATAGAGAGGCTGGCCTTCGGGCTGGGCAAGCGTGAGGCCTGGTGCTTGGGCAGCATTTCGGGTTGACACCTGTACACAACTGTGCTGACTGCTCAAGCGACAGACAGAGGCCCCTTTTGCTCATCTCAACATGCAAGGTGTGGCTGTGGCTAGAACCAGAGGAAAGAGGGGGAAACTTCTGCTTGCCGAGGACACTGGGCAGACCCCGTGGCCACACACAGGACCCAAGTCCCTGGCCCCTGGCCCTATTCCCACCTCAGGGTAGTGCAGGAACACGTCGGCAGCGTGCAAATCCTCCCACCTTTTGTACCGCCAGCTTCCTCGGCGACTCTGCTGGGCTCCACGTGCACCGGCACGGCCCCCTCGGCCCTGGCGGCTATACCTGTCCACCTCCTCATAGTCCTCGCCACCGACGACCCCTGTGGCCAGCACACAGCCTGTCACTGCCTGGGCTGGGACGGCAGCAGGAGTGATGGGCCTGCCATCCAAGCTAGACCCAGGCCAGTGCTCAGACCTGGACAGCAGAGGCTCCCCACCACCCACACACGCACGCTTAGGGTGGGCATGGATGCTTCGCACGATGGGTACCAGCTGCAGGCCTCTATGACCTGGTGCCAGGTCAAGCACACAGCGCAATGGGAGATGAGCCTGGCCCACAGTCCCAGGGCGGACCCTACGCAGCAGGACTCAGCAGGTGCCTCCTGCCCTAGGGCAGAGCCCTGGAATCCCAGAATGGCAGACCTGAGACCTGGGGCTGTAGTGCTCCGTGTGCACAAGGCGCTCAGGCTCACAGCACATCTGCCGATAAGGAGACTGAGGGACAGGCACCGCACGCAGTCCCAGCTGAGCTGTCAGGCATTGGACCAACCTAGGTCTCAGGCTCCAGCCGGTGCAGCCATGTGGACCCAGAGCAGGGTTCCCAGGCCAGGCTGGAGCTGGCAGTGCCCTGCTCACCCTCATTCCGGTGGGAGTGCCTTGGGGCATAGCTGAACTGCAGGTCGATCTGGCGGTTCTGGCGGGCCTCGGCACGGCTCCGGCTATGACAGGCCATCCTGTGGGCCTTGAGATCGATCTCCGTGCGGAAGGCATGGGTGAACTGCTCCGTGCTGCAGCGGCCCTCCTCGCACAGGAAGTGCTTCTCCCGGAAGTGCTCACGCAAGTACGCGTAGTCACTGGCAGAGGACGGGGTGTCAGCAGGGCCCAGCCAGCCTCACCAACCGGCTGGCTCCCGGAGGGCCCCTGGAAGGGCCGAGGTACCACCCGCCCACCTATAGTAGTCCTGGGCCCCGTCCGAGTCGCAGAAGTGGCAGAAGTAGTGGTCGCGGCGCAGGTGCTTGAGCAGCTCATCATTGTCCAGGTAGCGCTCATCACAGAACTTGCAGAGCGGGTGTCCGCGGTGCGACGTGTCGTCAGGGTCCCCCTGCATGCGGTGCCGAGCCAGGTCCTTGCGCGAGTACCACTTGCGCTCGTATGTGAAGATCTGCAGGACACAAGGGGCTGGGCACAGGCCAGGGGTCCTGGGTCCCCCACTCCTCCCACGGGCCAGTAGCGGAACAGCCAGCGATGAGGAGAGGGCCCCAGTGGCACCAACTCTGCCCCAGAGCTCCGGTGGGCCCCCTGGGCCACTGGAGCCCCGCCTTGCCCAGGCCACACACAGCCCGGTGCTCTGGGGGGCTAGTCTAAGGTGCTCTGAGCCTCGAGGGTCAGACGGCATGTGGATAAGCCTCCCACAGCAGGCTGGCTGCGCCCCCTCTTCCTGGGCTCTCCCAGGGCCCCGGGCACACCTGGAGGTGCTGGAGGCACAGCCGGCAGCAGAAGAGCTCGTGCTGCTTCCGCATGTGCTGCTCCAGGTCCCCGAAGAGGCTGAAGGGCGGCAGCTCGGGGCACCGCGGGCACTCATGCTGCAGCAGCTGCCTGGGGAGACACCGAGAGCTGCCCACTGTCCCTGGACACTCAGCGTCCCCACCTAGAGTGGGCCACTCACCAGACCCACCGGCTTGTGACTCAGGAGGACACGCACAAGGCCACAGCTGGGACAGAGTCTGACAGGAGAACACAACGGAGCCCACAGGCAGGGCCTGAGTCAAAAGCCCTGGCTCTTGCCCCGGGCAGGCGAGTGCTTCTCCCCTGGAGCACAGGGACCACTCCTGTGACAACCGTGCCCTTTACTGGGTTTTTGGGCCGTGGGCTAAAGCCTGACTCACATGCCTCACGTATCCCTCAGAGTCCCAGAGGCAGATGCTGTGCCCACACTGGAGTGTGTTCCCTGCGGGACGGTCAATTCCACTACCACCCCAGGAGGGTGCTGAGTGTCCCCAGTCACAGGAGAACCTGCCTGATGGCACACAGACGGTCCCTGCAAGCTGAGGACAGGAGCCCAGATACCTGGCCCTGACAGCTGTGCACGACACACCCCAGCTCCCTCAGCCCCTCTCAGGAGCACGAGAGGTGACGGCCGCACACTCATGGGCAGCCTGCGGGGTGAGGATCCCTCTCACCTGTACAAGGTGTACACTTTGCCATCCATAAAGTAGATGTCATATTTCTTCTCATGCTGCAGCTGGTGGACGGGGATGGTGGCGAAAGCAGGAAGCCTCTTCCCAAAGACCACCTGGGGTCAAGCCAGAGGGTGGTGAGCAAGGCAGGGCCGGGACACCCCCGGACACTGCAGAGGTTCCGAGACAGGGAGGCCCTCAGGGTCTTCATGAGCAGGGTGAGGTGGGTCTGGCCTCGGGGTCCCTTCTGGGAGGCCGGAGGCAGCTTCAGTGGGCAGCGGCCTCTGGCATCCTGGGCCAGCTCGGCCTTCCCCTCACCCCCAACTCAACTGCCCGGGCTGGTCAGGCAGAAGACAGAGTTGCAATGCCAAGCTTCTCCATCAGGGGGCTGCCAGGCCAAGTCCCAAAGGGACGGCAGCACAGGGGCCTTAGCTCCAGCCCAGTCTCAGCCCTCACCCCGGCTCCACCCTGTGGGGGCACAGACCAGCTGTCGCACTTTCAGGGAGGGGAAAGGATGCGTTCCAGCAGCCGTTAAGGGAACAGTGAAAGCCACCAGCCCTGGACGCATCAGGTGACGCACAGCAGGGCCACGTGGCCGTGGTCCAGTGTCCTCTCCCCATTTCCATGGCGCCTGCACAGGGCTGGCTCTCAAGCCGACAGCCCGCCTCAGCTGCTCCCAGCCAGTTACTGGGACCATCTTGGGCGGCACCAAGGGCACAGGCTGCCATCCTGTGCACCAAGGGCCCAGTGCTGCACAGAGTCTCTGCACTGGGCCCTTTCTCCAGGTCTTTCTCCCCTTCACCTCTTCCCACAAGAGCTGGGGCAAGGCCTGGGGGCCCACCCTGCCCCACCACAGACCCTGGAGTCCCCAGCACAGCCCATGCCCTTCCAGGCTCAGGGTTCCCAAGCTCCCGCCAGGCTCCTTCATCCTCAGCAGCCCTTGCTTGCCACCAAGCCCCTCTGGCCAGGACCCTGATGCTCCCACCCCCATGGTGATTTATGCTATCACATCCTTCCCTGGATCCAGCCCAGCCCTGGTTGTCTCCTCACAGCCCCCGCCCCCCCCCACTCTGCCACTGGCCACTCGCCTCAGCTCAGAGTCCCGAGAACAGCCAGGAAGTCTCACCAGCACAGCTGGGGTCACCCTCACCTTGGGGAAGGACACGTCAAGGTCTTCTGTTGCTATGTTTAGCCTTAGCCAAGGAGGATATTTGGGACCAGAATAACCATGGACTTGAGAAAGCTCAGGACTGGCTGGGGAGAGGAGCCCCGCGCCCACTTGGGTCCCTGGGGTGGTCACACTCTGTGCCCAGTGGCAGGGTAGCTAAAGCTGGCTGCCCGGAAGGTTTGGGAGACAGTCAGAAGAGCTCAGCCTCCACTTATTCTGTGACATGCTTGGGGAGAACACAGACCTACAGCTTCCCCCACCCCCGCCAGGAGCCAGAGGTGCCATGGTCCTACACACCCATCCTAGGGGACAAGGCGGGAGCAGAGCCTGGCAGACCTCTCTCCCCTCTTCATGCCATGAGAGGCTAGGCAGGACGGACAGGCTGTGCGCCCATGACTGGCTTCCGATGAGAGTTGCAGCTCTGGCCTAGAGGACCCATCACAAAGGCTGCTGGACCCTGTTCCAGGCTGTCTTCCTCCCCAGCTGACCCTCCCCAGGCCCTGTGCTGGCCCCTTCTGGTGGGATCTGCCTTCCGGGGGCAAGCTTCTGCCTCACAACAACTCCCCAGGGTGCCTCTCCGGCCCAGGCCCAAGAGGGAGCAACATGGCTGTGAGCCACCCAAGATACGACTGGATGTGGAGCAGATCCCCGTGGAGCAGGCAGGACTCATAGCCCCCACAGAGGGCCACACCCCTGCCACAGCTTCTCTGAGGGAGCTGAGGCAGCAGCAAGGCGGCCAGAGGAGCAGCCTGCAGGGGAGCTCCGGAGGCTGCCAGAAAGTACCTAAGCCCAGCAGACTCGGCGGAGGGACACCTTCCTTTCTGAGGGGAACCCAGGGTCAGAGGCCCCCATCAACGCCTCCCGCCTCGATGCCCTCCTTGCTGATCTTCCCTGGGTGGCGTTTCTTCAGGCTGCAGGGAGGAGTCCCACCTCTTTTTCTTTTGAATGGGAGTCTCACTCTGTCACTCAGGTTGGAGTGCAGTGGCACGCTCCTGGCCACCACAGCCGCAACCTGCTGGGCTCAGGTGATCCTTCCGCCTCAGCCTTCCAAGTAGCTGGGACTACAGGTGTGCACCACCATGCCCAGCTAATTCTTTGATTTATTGTAGAGACGAGGTTTTGCCCAGTTGCCCAGACTGGTCTCGAACCCCTGGGCTCAGGCAATTCTCTCGCCTCGGTTTCCCAAGGGGCTGGGATTACAAGTGTGAGCCATTGCGCCCAGCTGAGTCCCATCTCTCAGGCTGCAGGGCAAGGGACCTCCTGAGCACCCTGCTGTGCAACTGATCTCCCTAGAGCACCACCTGTGCACAGGCATGGTGCCAGGCCCCGCTGAGGACAGAGACTCCTGTCCCTGCTGCCCTGAGGCACCTACGCCCAGGCACTGCTGGCACATCACGAGTCCTGAGCAAGTTCTGTGGGGCAGCACTGGGGGGCGCCAGCGGACTGTCAGGATGGAGGCCGCTGGAGGCAGAGAGTTGCAGGGAACCAGGTGGAAGCCGGACCAGGCGGGCTCAGGGAAGGCCAGCATGAAGGACCTAGATGGGCCCAGTGCAGGAGGGCTGAGCACAGGGAGGTGCTAGCACAGGGAAGCCAGCTCTGCTCCATATGCCAAGGGCACACATGTGCTACTGAGGCAGCAGGTCCAGGAAGTCATGCAAGGCAGGGGCTGGGGACAAGGTGCCCGCTGAGTCAAGTCTGGATAGGGTCCATCTGCAGTGGGGTCCTAACTGCATGGGGACAGCAAGGCCCAGGAGCATTCATTTCTCCTGAGCAGTCTGGCAGGGGTGGCCTGGGCATACCCGAGCCAGGCAGGAAAATGGGGAAGAAGGGCATTGGGTCAGCTCAAGAAGGGACAGGAACCACAGGAAAAGGCTCAAGGAAGAGAAATGGCTGTGGGCAATGCAAGACCAAGCCTGAGCTGGCTGGGGCACGAGGACGAGCAGGTCTGTAGCCACACATTGCCCTTCCCAGCAGGCAGGGAGACCAGGACTGGACAGTCAGTCTTGAGGAGTAGATGCTGGAATGGCAGTGCAGCCAGGTGGGGCCCGTGTCGCCATCCCCAGCAGAGGGGGAGGGCAGGACAGGGGCTGGACAAGGCAGAGAGAGCATGGTGGCCAGTCCGGGCACAGGCAGGATTTACCAAGGAGCCAACCAGCGAGGCCCTCCCTCCCTGGTGACACTGCAGCGAGACCAGGCGGGGGATGGAAATGTAGAGGCTGGTGGAGATGACTGGGCTGGGGCTGCAAAGGGAAGGAGGCTGGGAACAAGCTCTAGGTCACCCCGGTGCAAGAGGGTCGTAGGTCTGAGGACAGAAATACAGGCCTAGGCAGGCCCTGGGCGGGCTAGGCAGATGACCCAGGGGGAAGGGGTGCCCTGGGTGAGCCCCAGCATGGTCAGGCCAGACCCTGAGGCAAGTGTGAGGCAGATGAGGGTGACAGCCTGCTCAGGACCCCTACAGGAGGGGTGTGGGTATTTGCCTGGGTCCCTGCTCCTCCCCACTGCCCACATGCAGTGCGTGCTCAAAAAGAAGCGCTGAGTGGACCAAAGGCCAGGTGGTGCCGGCAATGAGCACTGGCAAGAGTGAGATGATGGAGAGGCCAGCCAAGGCCTATGGAGGGGAGTTGGGGGTCTTGGGGATCGCTCTGTGGGGTAAGCCAGAGAGTCCAGGCCCCCAAGGCGCCCAGAAGGGAACAGGAGCAGGGATCATCTTACAGAGAGAGCCAGGACCACAGAGCGACAGGGAGGGGCCACGAACAGTAGAAAAACACGACCTGAGTCAGCAGGTCCCGCCTCCTGACCTAAGCCTTGGGGCCAGAATGGGCTGGCACCCCTTCCACTGCCAGCCTGTGAGATGCGTGTGGGCAGCATTGCGGGGGAGTGGGGGCGCAATCCCATTAGGACTCCTGCAGCAGCACCAGGGACCCCCAGAAAATGGCCCTTGGGAAAGATGCACCCAGAAAAGAGGATGAGAACCAGGACCGTCAGCCACACCCACCAACCTCAGGGAGGCACCCGCCCACAGGATGGGAGCCTGCGTTGACCTCCCAGCTGAGCGCCTACTAGGCAGTCTAGGCTGACCTGGTTCCTGGCCTGATAAAAGCTGCAGGGTCCTGACAGATTCCATGAGGAGGGTCTGTGTCAAGGTGTATAGTATCAGCACGCAAATGGAGCAGCTTAGGGCCTGGCATCTGAGCACAGGTTTCACAGAGATTTCATCCCACAGTGAGGTCAGAGCAAGGGCAGGGCTCAGGACTAAGGGTCGCTGTGGGAATTCCTGAACATGCGTGGGACACGGGACGTATTCAGAGGGCAGCACAGGACCCGACAAGGGAAAAAGAAGCGCTAGGATGAAGCACCAAGTTCAAGGGGGTGAGGAAAAAGGATGAATGGGAGGGGCATCAAGCTGAGCCCAGCAGTGCCATCTCACCAAACAGCACCTTCTGTGGACTCCTCCTGCTGCCCAGCTATGCTGGCAGGCCTGAGAAAAAGCCCAGCCTAGGCTAGGGGCAACCAGTGCCACACCACACCCCAGCTGACAGCGCCTGTCAACAGCCCCTGTCACTGAGCTCCGGGAGGGTGTGGGGCCCACAAGGAGTCAGGAGGGCAGACGCAGTCACTGTAACCACAAGTAGGTGTTCACTCACTTCCTACATGAGACCTGCAATCACCCACAACCCACCCACGGATGGAGCCAAGACCTCACTTGTGAACACCTCCAAAGTGCCTTCCTTCCTGGAAAGATGCCACAGATATGCTGGGAAACCTGGCTGCGGAAGGTTATGCCATGGTATGCAGGACTGGACAGCGAGGCAGGCCCTGGCAAAGCCAGGAGGCACGCACTGAGTAAGCCATGGGCTCAAGGCATTCTTTACCCCAGGTCTCTCCCAGGTCTAGGTCCGCCTCCTCCCATCACATTACACAATGACAGAATCTCCAAGTGACTTTTTCCAATAGGGCAAAGGGTAGATGCCCACAAACGCTCAGAGGATTACGGCATCTCTTTGGCTCCTTTAATATAAATGTCGGCTTTAAAAAAAAAAAAAAAAAG